TTTCATTTTTGTCTATTCAAACAAAATTAACATTAACATTTTCCTTTCTTTCACTTCTCCTTCCTTCCCTTCTCTTCTCTTTTTTTTTATTAATTTTTATCCAAACAAATACTTAGGGTTCGGGGAAGAAGAAGCTTGAAGGGTAATTTTGTAATTTTAATTTTTTATTTATTTTTATATTTCATTGAGCCAACGCAGTGAAAACGAATATTTTGGAGATTTTATCGGCTCAACGACATGAAAAAGAAGAACCAAAAAAAGAAAAAGAAAAAGGAAAGAAATTGCCATGTAAGACTAAAATGAATGCGAATGAGGACTAAATCAACACCCAAGTTATAAAAATCACTCCACTCCAACGTGTTTAGAAAATCCACCTCAGCCCACTGTTAGTGATTTTTTTGTGGCAGTACGCACGTGGTTAAATAATAAATAATTCGTATCTATTAATAATTAAGAGTGTCATTTTTTTAAAAGTAAATTTGTCTTTGTAGGAGCAGATTTGAGGATTTTGCTTAATTAATTTTGGTTATAATTAGTCTACAAATTCTGTAAAATGATATTTATTTTTTATCATTTTATTTACTTAAAATAATTAATATTCTTATTAAAATGAAATTAACTCATTGAACAAGAGCTAGAGTCTTTTACCAAAAAAAAAAAATAAAGAGCTAGAGTCATTATGATTCAAAATTAGGGTGATTATTGTACAAAACATGAAATTTTTAATTTTAAAATATTTCAATCAATAAAAACTTAAGATCCTAATTTAAAGTTTTTAAATTTAAATTTGAAGCAGATAAAAAGAGATTTAAGGATGAGCAAGGCTATTATTTTTCTCTCTAAACTTGAGAGCGTTTTCTTCTACCGGTAGTGGGAGTCAAACAACACTTTTTTTCTTTAGTCTTTTATGCAAACTTCTTCAATGATGACCAAAGCAGTTCTCGACATTGATGGCTGCATCAAACGTTAGGGACATTACAGAGGCTCTTGGGGAAAAGTTGTCATTGACGATAGAGGAAGATGTGGGGCTACATCTCGATGTCGAAGAACAGGACAACCAACAGGTAGGAGTGGCGAGGTGGTGCCTAGTCGACATGCTTTTGATAAAGAGGCAGTACAACCTGTCAACGCTATAGAGTACGCTAGCCAATGTCTGGAGGCCTGTCAAAGGTATGCACATGCAGATTTTAGGTGAAAACCTCTTTGCTTTCTATTTTTTTCATCCCGTAGACATGCAACGAGTGCTGGTGGAAGGCCCTTGGCATTTTGCCAACCATACCATGGTATTAAAGGAGGCACAAGGGGGTCAACAGGTGACAAAGGAGGAACTATTTGAGGTTCCTTTCTGGGTTCAAATTCATGGCTTACCACCGAATCGTCTATAAGCAAAAACAAGATGATGAATTGGCACCGAGATGGGTCAACTTCTTGACATCAATGTAGGGGATAGGGATGCCTAGGGGTTTGAATTTATCCGAGTAAGAGTGGGTATTGATACCAGAAGGCCACTTCGAAGGGGGATGAGGCTCTCTTTAAAGGAAGGGTTGATTTGGGTGTCCTTTCGTTACAAGCACCTCCAAAACTTCTGCTACTGCTGTAGCAAATTAGATCATCTAGATCGAGATTGTGAATTGGGGCTGGAAATGGAAATGGTGGGAACAACAACTCGTCTATATGATGATAATCTCCGAGCAGTATCACGATGTACATAGTTGGCTAGATATGCTAACATCGGTAAGTGGCTTAGAGATGGCTCTCGGAACTATGTGGCAGAGGAAGCACGGTGGAGGCGTCTCGGCCAAAACATGGAAAGATCATGTTCATCAGAGATGCAAGAATCTCACAGTGGGGGAAAGAACCGTGATTGGCGAGATGACGGAGTGCGTATGGGCACAAATCTTGGAGGAGGAAATCGCAGGCTAAATCCATTAGAGTTTAATGCTGCAAATATGATCCAAAATGCTAGCCTGAGATTGATAGCCTCATCGAAGGAAAAGGAGTTATCTTCGGGTGTAAATGCTAACACCAAGCAGCATTTGACTGGCGAGATTGATGACGTTACAAGAAAAACGGTAGACAAGGCTCTTGAGTGGGAAAGTTCCCAGACTGTTTCAAACTCTCTATTGGTGGAGGATGGCCCACATACAGGCAATACCCAACAAGCCCAATTAATACAGAACTCAGTCCATAATAACCAAGGAGAGGACATGGGCTCATTTTTCATTTTTTCCTCAAGTCCAAAGGGAGAAAGGACCTGTGTTCAGACCAAAGCCTGGAAAAAAGAGGCATGAAATCAACGGATGACTAGCAGGGTATCTCATATTCAAACATCCCAAACTAAAAGGAAGGATGAACTCTCGAATTCTATGACAGTTGAAAAGCCAAGCATTGAGAAGAGAAGTAGGAATGAGGAAGAAACTAATACTGGAGTAACTATAATGGCGGGACCTGCTATGCAGGCCTGTCGCTCGCCATGAATCTGCTATGTTGGAACTGCCAAGGGCTTGGGAACCCTTAAGCAGTTAGAAGTCTAATAGAATTGGTGAGACTAAAGAAGCCCAAGATGGTGTTCTTGTGCTAGACACTACTAGATAGAAGGAGCACGGAACAAGCAAAGAGAAGACTGGGTTTTCAGCATTGTTTTACAGTTGAAAGGAATGGTCGTAGTGGTGGATTGGCGATGATGTGGGACAAGCAGTAGCAACTGCACTTGCAATCTTATTCTGCAAATCATATTGATATGGAAGTAGTAGGAGTTGTCCAAGACAAATGGCATTTCACTGGCTTTTATGGTTTCCCTGAAAGGCATAACAGAAGGAAATCTTGGGCACTAATACAAGAATTGGCGAGAAAGTCATCTTTGCCTTGGCTAATTGGAGGAGACTTTAATGATCTTTTAAGCTCTGATGAGAAGATAGGAGGTGCCCCACAACCAGATTGGATGATGCGAGGTTTTTAGGAGGTAATTAATGATTGTGATCTAACAGAAATACCAATGGTGAGAGGTTGTTTTACATGGAGGCGAGATCGAACGGAGGAGAAGGTGGACCGTTGCTTAGTGACCACCACATGGACAAATCTTTTTCCAACTACAAAGGTAAGCCTACTACCCCCTTTATCTTTTGATCATACCCCATTGTGGGTTACTTGAAATAGTAAGGTAGACAGAATGCAGCGGCTAAGAAGGAAATTTAGATTTGAGAACATGTGGCTTCGTGACAAGACGTTCCAGGAAGTAATATAGTCTAGTTGGGAGTAAGTGGACAGAAGTGGAGACTGGAATGGCCTTGCACTTAAGATTGTTGTTCCTCGTAAAATAAATAGAAGAAAAAATAGAAAGAAGATTAGCAAAAAACAATTAATTAAAGATGAAAGTAAAAAATTAGAAAGATGTCACCGAAAGTATGAGGAGATTGAGTTGAGGCGTGGATTAATCACTCTCTTTAGGATGTTTCGTGCCACTGGTGCAGTAGATTTTTATGGTCACGCCGCCCCCAGGATACAACAGCCCAACCTCCTTGTTGTGTCTTTACAAGTACTGCACTCTTGTAAAGAAAGCTCTACCCCACCACCTTTTCCTTTGCCCAAAGAGAGTTTTTATACTGTGTTTTTTTGGAATAAAAGTGTCAAATGTAGAAAAAAAGTATCAGCCTTTGGTAGGCATGGAGGCTGCCTATATATAGGCCTTCGCAATGTAACCGCAGGAGACAAAATATTAAATTTGAATGAATGTTTTTCCGGTTATCAAAATAATATTTTGAAACTGATGCACTAACATATTGCTTTAAGCCATTTGAAAAGTTGAAACGCATGGGTCCTCTCAATAAGACAAAAACGCATGGATCCTTTCCTCAAAACAAAAACGCATGGATTCAAGAAACTGACGAAGCTGAAAAAATTCTTTAAATAAATGGCTGTTGCCGTTCGATTAAAATAAAGCGCATGGATCTCCTTTGAAATAGCTAAGTAAATATAAATTGGCTGATTCAAAAATATAGGATGTAACTGATGAGTTACTTGACAAATTTAAGTTTTGAAAGCATTGGATTTGTAACGGACTGGGCATAA